GCCCTTGCACAAACATGGTTATAAAATTACCTGTGAACTCTATAGGCTGTGTCTATCTGCGTATCTGCACCTTAGCAGCAAGAGGAATTTGAAAAACTGACTGTGGGGCTTCACAAAAATGGAAAAGGATACAGGAAGATCGGTGACCAACTGAAAGTTAACTGAAACAGAGTTGCAGCAGTAATCAGGAGATATTACTTTCTTATTTGTGCTTATACTTTCTATTCTATACTATTTGTGTCATTTTTCTTCTTTTTGCTGGAAGCCTAGACTTCCATCTGAAGTTTCATTGTATGTATGGAAGCGTATGCATAATGACAATAAAAAGGATTCTGATTCTGATATAGGCCAAACCACAGTATCATTAATCAAACTCAAACTGGCTGTCTTCCTAAAATAACACCATCTACAAGGCTCTACCTGCACAATCTGACTCTGAAGGAGAAAAAAAAGCTGATAAAAGGTTATCAAAGAAAATCTGAGTTTCAGTGACAGCTCAGACTGTGTAAACACCCAGCATAACATTAATGTCTTTGGATGGCATCCAGGCAAAAAATGCTTTCTTGCTGTCTGGCACAAAACAGCAACATAAAATTCTGCTGAAGAACATGCTAAGAGGCCTGATGAATACTGGGAGCACATTCTTTGGTCTGATGTGTTCAGCTCAGAGGGGGTGCAGCATGCTTGGTGTGAACCTTGTCAGAACAACCACAGTGAATGCATATTCCTGACAGAGAAGCACGAGGTGGGAGTGTGATGATTTGGTGCTGCATGAACGCAAAAAGTGTTGGGATGATGACATGTATAGAAGGCAACATAAATGCATGTAACCAAAATACTGGCTGACAAGATCAGTCCCAGTCTGCGGAAGCTTGACTGAAGAAGAAAATCCTGCATTATAGTGATTCAAAGCAACATAACCTCGCCAGAAAGGAACAGCTGAAAAAAACTGTCTCTAAAGAATGGCAAAACTACTCTCCAGAAGTGTGTGCAACACTGGTATTCTCAGTGCCAAGAAGGATTGTGTCTGTCATCAAAAATAAAGGCGGACATACAAAGTGTTGAAAAAACAGTTACTCTTAACTGTTAGTTTTTAATTTTACATTAGAACAAATACTGTATTGTTCAACTAAGAAGTGATGCAAGGTGATACGGGGTGTTACAGTTTTGAATCTTTTGACATTTAAGTGACATTGCACAGGTTTGTAGTCACTTCTAAATATTGGTGAAGACATATCTCCTGCATCACCACTGAAATCTATGTATGTCAACAAAGTTTGAAGTGGCTTAAACTCTGATACAAATCTCCATTGATTAGAATAAAGAAAATGGAGTGGTTCACTGTCATCAACCTTCATTTTCTTTTCCTCACACTTCTGAAGAAAATCACAGCATTTGCTTTATTCTACACAATGGGCAGTATTCAGTAACACACTGTATTTATAATTACAGGTATTCATTTGTTTGTGGAGTAAAAATGGAGATAGTTATTCTTACATGTTTAATATCTTAGCTAAATATCTCTTGTGCAGTGGTTTTGGTTATTACACTACAAAAGAGATTAAAAGTGGCTCAAAATGAGACTTATTTATGTGGTCTGATGTGTGTGTGAGTGAGACTACATTACCATACAGTGTTGGCAAACTGAAGTCACAAACAATGTAGTACACAACTGCAACCACCAGGTGTCATCACTTCATTAGACTATTCTCTCGTACTGTATCTGTAACATATTGTACAGCAGTATTATTTCTTTAATACTGTGCATGTTCAAACTATGATCAAATTCATTGCAGATTTAAAATTGAGATAAAAATGTGTAACAAACTGAATGTTCATGACAGCAGTGCACTGCATTTCCTTTATTGTAGTCAGTGGGCAACTATTTGTTTCAGAACTGAAACAAGAATAAGATCTGTTGTCATTAGCCCTGTGAGGATGTAAAGGTAAATGATATTAGCCTATATCCCATGGTTAAGCAACAATTCCAAAGTACAGCTGAGAAAAAAATGGTTATTACCTTTAGAAGTGTCCCTAACTGCAGCAGCAGACAAGTGAGTCAAGAGGGTCACAACACCGTTAGGATTAAGGACCATACACATTTGCATGTAATTTCGCAGTAATTACTTAAATTATTATTACAATATTATGTTGAACCTGAAATTAGTTACATAGCGTTTTGGCACATGTTGGCTATGTGTGTCCTCCTGACTTGTCCTCTTTGTCTCCAACCCAAAGTGGATTATGCACATTTGCATTTCAGCAGTTTTAAACAGTAATAATTTAGTGCTTTTTCACTTTTGGTGTATTAACCAAATATTATGTATACAGTGTAGATAATAATTTTCCTCTGTTTAACTGCACTCCTACCTTGCAGGCCTCAGTTGCTCCTCATTCATCTCTATATGTTTTGAAGCTCATCCTGCTGTGTCTTTAAAGTCTTAACTATATCATATGAAACTCCAATAATAAAGTGCCATATATCATTAAAATGTTCTGGGACTGTGGCCTAAGATTTTATAAAATTCTCTTTTCAGCAAGGGGATGGCAGGAACCTTTAACATTTTTCCTCCTAGAAAAATATTTTCCATAAGTCCATTAATTCTATGTAATGCACGAAGCCTGGCGTGTTGATAGACATTTTTCCTGGTTAAGGTTGGGGAAAATATAAAAACACTAGTGTATACAAAAGTTCCTTTATGTCTTTTACATTGTTTCATTTAATCATGGCTGAGCTTCCAAGGAAATCCCAGTAAATTCAGTTTGAACAATAGATGAGTACATTTCAGATGAAATGCCCTTTTCTGTTATTCCCTGACAGTAAATTTCAGTAAATGCAAAATGCTACTAGATTTTAAAGGTATTGTATGAAGTATTGTTTGTAGTTATCAGAGCATTAAAGACACTGCAGAAATCAAATAATAATGTAGCTGACTTACTGTCTTGCTGTACTACAGTAATGGCTGCATATATAGTGTATATATATTCACACGTAATGTGTATATATTTATTATTTATGCTATGATGACTGCTTATATAATCAATATATACACACTGTGTACATATTACATGTAAAGTTAGAATCCATCCATTATCTATACACCGCTTAATCCTCACTAGGGTCGCGGGGGGGCTGGAGTCTATCCCAGCTGACTTAGGATGAAAACAGGGGACACCCTGGACAGCTCGCCAGTCTATCGCAGGGCCACACTTAGAGACAGACAACCAAGCACACTCACATTCACACCTACAGACAATTTAGAATCACCAATTAACCTCAACATGTTTTTTGACTGTGTGGGAGGAAGCTGGAGAACCTGGAGAGAATCCACGCTGCACGGGGAGAACATGCAAACTGCACACAAAAAGATCCTGGGTGTCCTCACTGGGACACAAACCGGCGACCTTCTTGCTGCAAAGCAACAGTGCTATCAGCCGAGCCACCGAGGTAGAATGATTTCTTTAATTTGTTAACTTTTTTTTGGACAAACATTTGATCTTCTTTGAAACAGTGCCTACAAATAAAGATGATTTACTCAAACAAAATACATAAAACTAACATTTTGTTGTCCTTTCCATCATTTAAATGAAGAAAATAGACTTGTCACATGGAAAAAGTAAGGAGAAGAGTAAAGGGTTTAAAGAGATCTCCGAGCTATTTCAAGATAATCATCTACAAGTGTTGTAGATTTCAGTCAACTGCCAGTTTGTCCAGGACTTACTGAAATTCAGCCCGACAGCAGACTGTCTGATGCAATAAGATGCCTCAGAGGACCCCAAAATTTCATCACAGGATCAGCAAGTAACTCTTGCAACTATTAGTGCCAAAGTTCTGCATCTGCAATGAGACAGAGATTGAATAAATTTGACCTGCATGGGATGCAAGCCAGGAAAAATCCTTTTCTCTCCTCAAAGAATCATTAAACTAAGACTGCAGTTTGTCAGTGGATATAAAGGCAACAAAAAGCAGGCCTTTGGGAATAATGTGGTCTGGACAGACGAATCAAAGATAAAGTTGTCTGGCCCCAGTAACAATAGACATGTTTGGTGGAGACCAAAGGCAGCTTTTCAGGAGAAGAACCTCATACCAACTGTGAAGCACGGCGGTGGAAATGTTATGGTTTGTGGTTGCTTTGCTGTCTCAGAGACCAGGCAGCTTGCAGTAATTAATCCAGCTATGAATTCTGCATCATATGAAAGAGTGCTTCAGGATAATGTGAGACCATCTGTCTGAAAGTTGAACCAGAAGTGCACATTTCAACAGGATAATGATGCAATACAAAGAGCCAATCCACCAAGAGTTAGGGTTAGGAATCCAAGAAAGGAAGCCAAGCACGGGCTCGAAAAGAAACAAAATGGAGGATTATGGAGCGGCCTAGTGAAGACATAAAAAAAAAAAAAAA